TCACAAGGAGCCAGGGAAGCACTTCGCTGGTAAACAAAGAAAAACCCTCCTGCCCCTGGTGGGAGTGAGTAAGAGTCATGTGAGTATGGCAAGGAAAGCCTAAGCTAGTAAATGGAAGAAGACCCTGTTATAAGTGAGGAAAGTGAGCCCTCTCATAAAGAGGAAGAACAACTGTAAGAGTGTGCTATTTATCTATCAGAAAAAGAACATTATAATCCTACCTATTATAATAAAAGAGTGTCATTTACCTACCAGAAAAAGAATATTGTAATCATATCTGTTATAATAGAATAGTTTATTTGGATCATGAGGATTCCATTATTTTTCTCGATTGGATTTTCTGCCTAAAAAATTTTGTGTTGTTCTATTCTCATTACTCTCTATATTAGTGTGTATAGAGCACATACAATACCCAACAATTTTTGCAAGGCATTGATAAATAATATATCCTAAAAATTGAAGTTTTTCAAATGGAATATTTTCTAAAGTTTTCACATGAATTGATATCATATGCAAGGCGTGAGCCATGAGGTGTTAAATTTATGGGATGTTTGGTAGGAAAGAACCTGATTTTTAAAGTAACAAAATTTGAAGGTGTAATAACCCGGATTTTCATTTTTATTAAGGCCGAGGACTTATTGCAATAATTGTTTTAGTAGGGGTCGGATTGGAATTTTGCCAGGGACCAATTCAAGAAAAATCAAATTTCGAAGGGCCAAACTGCAATTAGACTGAAACTGCCATGAACAGTGGATTGGTTGAACAATCGCCCATGCCGTGATGATGGGGGGTTGTTGGGGTGATTTAACCGAGCAAGGAAGCTCGTTTTTGGGAGAGGAAGAAAAGCCCTCAATTGTTTTTGTTTTTGGAGAGGGGAACGGGACAATTTTCGGAGTTTGGGCGACGGGGTGGGCGAACGGCCGGCGACTTTTCCCGACTTGTTGGAGCTTGTAGGAGAGCTTTTTGTCGATTGACAAAGCTGGAGGTTCGCCGGACTTGGGTTGCAGTTTCGGGAGGTCTTCAGTAGGGTGAGTGATTCTTTACCGTTGTTTTTTGAAGGATTTTGGTCCGGGTTGTTGCAGACCCGAACGTTGCATTCGGGTTACAACGCGGGTGAGGAAGACGGACCCGGATGCATTCGGGTCCGTGTTGAGTGGGCTCGGCCGAGTCAACTCGGCTCACCGAGTCGACTCGCCCAGCTTGTGTGGGTTGGGCCTGGGCCAGTTGGCCCGGGCCAGGCCGTTGGTGGATTGGGCCACGGGCCCGCAGGCTTGGCCTGCGGGCCAAGAAAAAAAAAAAAAAAAAAAAAGAAGAAGGGTTTGACTGAACCGACCAGGGGCTTTGACCGGGCGGTTCAGTGCCATTTTGACTAGGATTTGAGAGGTTGGACCGGTTCTGGATTCAGGGAGAAAATAATATCAGACCAAGTGGGTTCGGGAAATTTTAGGTGCCGGTTCGAGGTGAACCGGCCGGTTTAGTGTGTTATCCTTCGGGTGAACCGGTTCATTGATTTTTCGGCCGGTTCTTGGGAATTTGGACTGGTTCTTGGTTCAATATGATAAAACATAGTTAACCGGAAGTTTGGTGATTTTTGGAGGTCCGGTTCGAGGTGAACCGGTCTCGGTTTGCGTGTCGATGCTTAGGATTAGGTTTTTTAGCCGGTTCGGAGCTGGTTTGAGCCATTTTTGGCCTGTTCATAGTGGTTCCTAGGGTTTTTTGGGCCTTCTGAATCCGATTTTGAGGGTTTCGTGGTCATTTGAGTTGAGTCAAAGGTAGTTTTAGACTGAGCTAAACTGGTTCGAGGGTTTTGGGGAACGGTTCGTTGCGGTTCGAGTTTTGTGGAGGCTAGTTTCGTTGTGTTAAGGGTGGTTTAAGCAGATTTGTCTGTATTAGTGAGTCGCGTAGGTTCTGGTGACAAGTTGGGTTGCTCGAGATGCGTGCCAAAGGGCCGATTTGGGATTTTAGTTCAGTTTGAGGCTACGAGCCTGTTTCTCGTGCGGTTTCAGCGTTGGTGATGGTTTTTGTGTGATTTTGATTGCAGATTCGCAGGCAGGGGCACACCTGGACTACTGAGTCGGGCTAGGTGACTCGGATTCTCAGTTTGGCTTAGCGTCTGTGCTGTGAGTGATGATACCCTTTCTATGCTTGTGTTTTCATACTGTGATTTCGATATGACGATTTTGTGGTTGAAACTTGTGTTTTGATTATATGTTACTCGGGTTATGTGCTACGTGTTTTGTGAACTATTAGGGAGTCGTGTCGGTATGTGATTTTGGTTTTTAAGACATGGACTGTATATGGGCTGTATATCTGTTTGACTTGGATGTGAGGGTGGTGTGCTGTGATGGGATTTGTGGACGGCAGGAACTCGGCTAGAGTGCGGTGATCCGTAGCGTCCAGTAGGTGAGTCGATCTGAGTCCGTGAGGGACGGCAGAGACTCGACTGGAGTGCGGTGACCATAGCGTTAGTGTGGGGTAGGCCTGAGTCCAGTGATGTGATTTGATGTTGGCTGATAGCATTCTTGAGTGTATGTTGATATGTTTTTACTGATTGCTATATGCTTAAGGTTTTAGACTTGTGCTATGATATGTATCCTGACATGCATAGATTAGGTATCATCCGTACTCACTGAGTTTCGCGACTCATAGTTTTAAACATTCCAGATTCTTTTGACTGTACTCACCTCGGTTAGCGTGCCAGCGTGAGAGTCGACGACAGTAGACTTGATAGATGTACGGGCATTTCTCTTTTGTACTTTACCCTATTGTATTCTAGAGTAGCTTCCTTGTACTCTCAGACAGGATCCCGGGTGATTTTTGGATATTGTATTATTGCTCTTTATGTATATTTTATATCTTTAGAGTTCGACTGGTTTTGTTGAGACTTATTGGGGTCGGTGGATCCCAGTGCCGGTCACGGGCCCGGGATTCGGGGCGTGACAGAAGGACATTTTTTGTTTTTCAAAATGAAATTGGAAGACTGAATTTAAAATTTTTGAACTCTATCGTGTCGACGGAGTAGAGGGACTTGGTCTTGTTCGCACTAACACAGCTTGATCGAAGACAACTATGGCGAAGTGAGCTTCCATGATGAAGAGGTGAACCACTGTTTCGAGATAAGTTTTTCTCCTTTTAAAAAATTTCAAAAACAAAGCCCTAATTTTCATACGAGTGTCTCTTACGTATGGGTTATTCCTGGAGTTGCGATTCACCTCTGCCCCTCGGTGTCTCTCTCGACAACGTCACTTCCCTCCGACAAGGCAAGGGTGTTTCAATATATATATATATATATATATAGGTAACAAAAATTACATCAATCACGAGCAAAATCAACCTTAATTAATCACAATTTTTTTTCAACTATTTCTTTATTAACCATACCTACCTTTTGCATTTTCAATTATCTCTTTGTTAACCACACCTACCTTTTGCGTTTTTCAACACCAGATTCAGGGATAGGATATCTATTCATAAGTAGTCGGAATTTCTGACAATATTATTTACAAACACTGTCAGATTGCGAATAATTTGTTTGCCAATTCAAGCTGGTCTCAGTGACAAGGCCAAGTCACTAATTTGAGACCAGCTTGAACCGGCAAACATTTTAATTACGCAATTTGACAATGTTTATAATAATCTCGCTGAACAGTTCGACAACTTATGGAGTGGGCGTCCCATCTTTGATTGTAATCCCTAAAAAGACAAAACGTATATTGAGTTAGGTTGATTTTGCTCGTGATTAATGCAATCTTTTATTACCTCAGACACGATGATTACCATTTTTCAATAATAATGACAGGACATTTCAAAATGAAAGATAAAAAATATAAACTCTATTATTGAATTTTGAAAACAACTAATTATTTCTAAGCATGTTTTCCAAAATTTCTTTCCAAATGGCTTTCAAAAATAGTATATAAAAAAAATAAATAATTTTTTTTAAAAAAGACTAACCAGAATCCTGTACAATAGGAAAGGTCAAAAAAGTTGGTTCATTCAATACTTGGTGGGCTTGGAGAGTGAATAGTTTTGATCCCAAAAACCACCTTCTAAACCGAATTTGGTTTACCACGTACTCAAAAATGTTTTAAAAAAATAAAAAAAGATGTATTTTAAAAACCCGGTTATTTGAAAAGTTAATTTCTCACGTATGATATACCAAAAAAACATTTTTAAGATACATAATAAATCCAAAATCCAAAAAACATAATACAAACACTCCTTCGCAACATTAAACTAGGCACTTCAGCTTCATCAAACCACTTTCAATTTGCCATTTTGTTCTCACTTCTTCCCATCCCTCCAACAATAATAATATGGTGGCAAGATCATTCATAAACCAATTTCAGATAGTGGCCCCGCCATCCACACGCAACCATCTTGCCCTCCCACGAATAAACTTGCACCGAAAATGGTCATATTGGTAATAGAGCGAAACTACGAGCTTCTAATCTTGAATTAAGAGAGAGACGACGTGATATTTCAAGCACAAGACAGGGATCATGTGTAATTAAGAATAACAGCCGATTTCTTCAAGATAGAAGCAAATCAACAGACATTCAACAGGTGAAGAATCATAAAATAAATCGGATTTTTTTAAATCAATAAAAAATACAAACCGAATACATATACTAACGCAAGGGCACACAAAAAAATACATATTAGCATTCATGTCCTTCCATTATTATTCACTAACTACGGAGTAAGAGAGCAAAAAACACTTGATGCACCAGAAGTTTATTTAAGGATATTCAACATTAATAAGAGTCATATAATTGAAGAATGAGCTCAATGAAAACCACCTTGCAAATTTTAAATCAAAATCAAGACCAATCACAATTCACCAGCATTTCATAAAACACCTTGCAAAAAATTTGTTTTTCTTCTCCATCTCACAAAAATTGTACCAAGCAGCTCTCTACCCTCCCACATTGTTTACCAACTACCGATTTAATGTTCTTGCTGTCTTTTTCCTCTTCTAAGTTGTATTTCGGGTTCACTCAAATGGGGCACGGGGGAACATCAAGTGTAATACCAGCTTGAATCTGACCCCAACCAATCAAACGCCAATGCTTCTCAACTCGCCTGCTCAGGGCTATTTTCTCACCTTTGCTTGTGCAGACTGGAGATGTAAGTTGCAGCTTAGCCAAATCATTCTTCACTGCAACAACCCGAGCACCTGTTGACATAGAACCTATATTCAACATAAGTATCTCCCCCTTGGCCAGCTTTTGAACCTTTCCCTGCCTCTCTGTGCCCTTTGTCCTCACACCCAGAAGTCGTCTCAGCAAGAAAAAGTTAACCTGCAGAAAGCACAATATCATATAAGCATAGACAGGTAGGCAACCAATATGTGGCATCATCATCCTTTGCTAACTCTGAAGGCGTTTAAAAGTTCAAATGATAATTCATGAAACAATCATCATAAAATGTTAGTTCAATCAAAAATGGAAAACAGAAACATTTAGAAAGCTATTAGAGTTCTCTTTCAGCCATTTTGCGAGTTGGATATGGGCACAAAACATTTTACACACACTTTAGAACATGATGAAATATGAGATCTTTTATTTACCTCCAATTCAACAAAAACTTCAGGGAGTGACCCAACCTCACCAAGAACCTGACCAACCAATCTATCAGCACGTGTCAAAGTAGGATCCATAGTAGTTCCAACCCAATAAGACCTCCTGGCACAGCAAATTGTAGTTCATTTTGTTCGGCATACAAGGAAACAATTCTGGAATATATTGGTGTGCACTTGATGTTGCCATTCTCATCCTTAACAACAATTCCAGGACGAACCTCAATGAATTGATTCACTTCAAAACACCCTTTGCAAAACAAGTAGGCAACAAAATATTAACCAATACACCCAAGTTGTTAAATGTGTCTTCTCAAGAGATTTGCAAAAGAAAGAGGCATATGATTAAAGCTAATAAAACACAAAAGTTAAATGTGAAAAATTTAGTCTCTACTACACCAATATGTATCCAGTTAAGGAAGGATTTTATTCATAAATCAATTTCCGGGCTTGGCAGAAAACACCACTGGCAATTGGATCACATTTTTTAGGCTTGCAAAACTTCTGAACAGACACAATGCATATAATATCATCATATGACGGGCCAAAGTGATTCCCCCCCCCCCCCCAAACAAAAGAATATATAACAGTTCTAAATATCTCATTATTTGTTATTTCGGCGAAAAATGGAACTTAAGAGAAGAGAAACTTACTTTAAGAATACTTCCACCAGCAACACCTCCTTTAATTTCATCAACCTCAAACCCAGGCTTATTGACATCAAAAGATCGGATTACAATCATGTTAGGAGGGGAGATGAAGTTCCTTTCTGAATGGGAATCTTTTTCACAATATATTCACACACAACATCAATATTATACTTGAGCTGTGCAGAAACTGGAATTACAGGTGCACCATCAGCAACAGTCCCCTAATAAAAGAGAAGTCATATGTGGTTTTAATAGAGTTAAATTGGCAAACAACAAGAAGAAAGCAACAATTCCTCAAACACTCAATGGAAAGAGAAGAAAACATCACTAACCTGAATGAACTTCTGAATTGCTTCATGCTGATTGATAGCAACATTCTCTTGATAAGATCAACCTTGTTTTGAAGAATTATTATATGTTGAAGCCGCATTATTTCAACAGCAGCCAAGTGCTCTGAAGTCTGGGGTTGAGGACAACTTTCATTGGCAGCTATGAGAGTAATGCTCCATCCATAATTGCTGCTCCATTAAGCATAGTAGCCATGAGAATATCATGACCCTGTAGGAAATCAAGAAACCAAACAAAAATCAGGCGATGTCAGATAAAAATTGTTGCAGAGAAATTAGTTTTTCATCCCCTAATCCATTCTTCTACTAATTCTTTTCCCACCTCCCCCAATAGAAACTAAGACGTCTGAGAATTGGTTCTTTAATCGTAAGGCCAGTAGCCATTTTCATCCTAGTGCATCACCATATCTACAATCAGTTTTTCCTCCCACCAGCCATTATACAAGGTGACATCAAGCAAACACCATCAAACCTAGCATCAAGGAAATTCCCAAAGAGCATCTTCTAGCAACAAAACCTCCACTTAGTTAAGGTTGTGGGCAAACAACATATACACTTTAACCCTTCACAAGCAGTTGCTTTTTTTTTTTTTTTAATGGCTCAGAAGCATGACATCCTAGTCACAAAACTTTACTGTTGATCCAAGGATACCACCCATTAAGGTAATTCCTCAAAATACAAATCAAAAACCTACCAGACATCATATTCCATTCCTAAAACAGATGGAAAAATTATACTCAAATAATGAAAGCCTAGACACTAAGGTGACTTAAATATCCCAACCAGTCATTGCTACAATCAACAATAAAAGGCTTCATAAGGTACAACCACACCATTATCCACAATGTCAAACAAGAAAGACTACCAAATTTACTAGTCATTAAAACCAACACTGTTTTTCTACACATTGTTTTTCTAACAGCTAACTATCAACTTTGACAACTGCAAAGATTAATAGCTTTTTATAAAGGCAGCAAAGAAATTTGAAGGACAGATCAATAATCAGTATTGTTAAACACGATAAATAGGCTGCCCTCTACAAATTCATCAAGACAGTTAACTTCCTCTACAGCTTAAATAACCTGCAAGCAGGCAAAAAAACATATCTCTGCAAATGCATAGGCATACAGGCCAGAATTTAGGCAAAACCTAAATATGTATGAAACACACATGTACACATAATATAGCATATGTATGTCTGATGAAAATAAACATAATCAGTTGATCTTACCGGCAATCAACAAAAGAAACATGCCTCAGCAATTTCATCTTACAGTTCTCAAACCCAGGCACATCGCACATAGGACTGTCTTCTTTACCACTTCCATATGCCCTGAAAAGCAATGTATCTGGTTAACATACAGTATGCCAAACAATATTCCAATGTAAAACAAGCATACTTCATCCACAGGTACCTACTTGTAGCACATAGGCCGAGGGCACCGTTCATCTTCACATTTGTATATCTTTGCATTGGCATATCCAAGTTTAATAGTAATGTTGCGCTCCAACTCATTTTTAAAACGCACTGTCTGCAGAAATTGAATGCCCTCATATTTGTCATGCAGAAATTAAAACTAAATATAGAAGATCATTAGGCTCCATTAACCTCTTGTTCATCCAATTTTTCTTAGTTTACAGTCAGAATCTAACAAGCAAGACTCCATCACCATAGAAGTATAATTGATCATGTTCAAAAAAATTATATAGTATTATATTGAAAAAAGGAAGTTGAAAGTTCAAGAACAATTTCCTCGACAAAATATGTTGCAATCAGTTCCCACATTTTATGAGACAACAATCCTGCACCCAAATATTCCCTAGCCAGGACAAACATATCAAAAATATCATCTCAATCCAGGAGCTATCATCCATCAGACTTGGTCAATCAAAGGCATACAATTAGATCAAGTTGCTAGTCTGTCTTAAGAAAACCTTAAGCAGAACAAATAATTCATAAGGACCAAAAATTCACAGTACATAATTTCCTTCTGTAAAAAAATCTATGATCATATTTGTCACATCTAAACCAGCAAAGTATATACACAATATACATATCAGCTGTATGCTGTAGTTAAATAAGAGAACAGTAGAACAGCGAGAACGTTTATCAGAAAGAAAAAATAAAAAAATAAAAAATAAAAAAAAATAAGCATGCAGATAAAAACCCATACCATACAAAAATTCAGAACAGAAACTGTATATTAGTACCTGAAACCAGATATTGCTTTAACAACTGTTGACTTGCCATGAGCCACATGTCCAATAGTACCTATAGATAAACACAGCTCATGTCATGGTATTTAACCCTAAGAACTTAGCAAATAATAGAGAATCAAACATATACTACAATAGTAAAATAAGTCTTACAACCAAAAAAACAAAAACTTGGTAAATGTTTGCAGAAAGCAATTACAAGGTTTGCAAAGGTGTAGTTACCAATATTAATTGTTGCTTGACGAGATATAACTTCAGGTGAGAGTGGATGAAGTTTAGTCACATCTAGCTTGCTCAAGTCCTGCTCCATCAACCCTTTCCGAGACATCTTGACGATTCCAACTGAACTCTCTCTTCAAGATTCACTAAACTTAACGTTTTACAAACTGCACAAATGTCAAAAAAATTAATCTAACAGGAGACAGAACTCTTAAAATCAAATTACTAAATACAGCAAGATTCAGCATTTATATCCTGCTTATGCACATGTGCTTTCAACATACTTGCTATAAAACCACCAATATAT